TGAGGGCTCCGTAAACTGAGCCATGTGGAAAAGGCAGGGAGGTGTAGATAGCACAGTTTCATGTTATGTGGGTGTCCTGGTGAGCTGTGGGTTCACCACCTATGCTGAAAGACAGGAAGTCCTTTTCCTTATCAGAAGGAATTTTGGGTTATATACCGCTGGGAAAAAAAGGCAAGGACATCAAGTCAAATTTGTCTCATAAATAGTAATGATTTAAAGGCTGAGCATGCTTATGTTTTATGCTTCTCTGAGAGCACAAATACAAATTAATTAAAGGTTACTCCAGGCTGTATATCAAAACCTGTTTACCAAAATATTTCTGAGAATTTCTCTGAGGTAGGAGTGCAACTGAATTCAATTTGAGAGCAAATAACAAGTGTATGTTTCAGTCCTGGTGTGGTCTTAAAAGTGGCTTATACATTTCATGTGAGGCCAGCTCATGACCATATCATCTGCCCTAAGGAACACATGCCACAAAGAATAAACTAGAATCTGACCTCCTTGCTCTGGGGCAGTGGTAATTTATGCCTCCATTTGTTGAAAAGTAAGGGGTTTTAATCTGAGCCTAGTTTGCTGGAGCACAAAGGGAAGAAAGGAGTAGAGCCCTCCTTCATGTCACCTCCACTCCACTCCTATTCTTCTACGCATTGCTTAGAGCACACAGGAGTTGCTCCTGCTGTTTCCTCTGTACTGCTGCTGTCAGTGACTTAATGTAGTCTCTGTGCTGCTGAGCAGAACAGTCCCTGAGTGAGGCTTAGGCAAATTAGCTGCTTATCCATCTCCTTTGCCTGCCACTAGGCTTTGGCAGCCAGCTTGGGGCAGCCCTACTGATACTCCTAAAGAGATTACGTTGGGAGCTTTGTGCTTAACATTTAACTGTCCACTCCAGCTATCTTGTTAGCATCTGCAGTCATGCTTTTAGGCAAATGAGGTGATCACACAGACTAGTAAAAGAGGTGTAAGAAATGTCTGCTGCAAAGGCACAGGAGTTTGTAGGATTCTGACCAAGTTCAACAGCACTGTTTGAATATAGCCAATTTGACCATGACAACCTAGAATATCAAAACACATAGCTAAGTCTTGATTTACGTGGTATGTGTGTGCTGTAAGTTAGCCAAGACTGGAGTACCCCTAGTTTCGTATGGTTAAGACATCTTATGGTGTTTTTCTTTTGTTGCATGTAACAGTGAAATTGAAGTTAGAGCTGAATATTTTAAATCAATTCCTTCTCCTATAGAAATGTTTACAAGGAGCAGTGCCTTTGTGGACACTCTCCTTTCTTCTAGTTCACATGTTGGCTTGTAGCTATAGTTTGGTCCAGAATAGGAAGAACAAAACTGTGGTCCAATAAAGCCAATGTAAAGCCCTCATAATATAAGCCAAAGTATGAAATATATTTGTGTCAAAGACTGCACATTACATACAGTGAAATACCAGAGATGGGCAGCTCAGGAACATTAATGGTATACTAAACACTAAACCAGAAAGACAAAATAGAGAACTGTGCTTGTCTTCCACACCCCTCCTCAACCCACAGGATATTTTTATTGGAAGCAGTTAATTGTGCTGATAGAGTTTTCATGTTCCAGAAGGGAATGTAGTTTGGCAAAATATTCTAGCTTTCAATACACACAGATGAATACAGGGTAACCTTTAAAATCCCCATAGAATAAACCATTGAGAAAAGGAACAGACAAATGGAGAGACCATCTGCAGATTCTCTGAATGTGCAGAGCTGTAGAATACCATCCAGTCTGATATCAAATAATTTTAAAGCATGGTAAAATGGTACCTATACATCTGTCATATTAAAAAAGAGCAAAGATTAGGCTTTTATTCTTGTTTATGATCTCCCATAGCAGCTACTACCCCAGTATTTACACACTGAACAGATCTGCAAGCAGTGGCACGTGGTAGACTTCAGTCAAAACCGTGCATCTTTCTGGCTCAGTAGAGTCCAGTCAGGGCTGCAGGTTTTATCTTTGCCTGCTTGGAAAAATTTATTAGGAAGGTAGCAATATTCCCAAATATTTCTGGCAAATATTAGTCTAAAGCCATGTAGCATTTCCTTTACTCCTCGTGTTCCCTTGGCCATGAATGTTTTCTCTCCAGTGCTTGTGTACCTAGACCTTGCCTCTGTAAATGATGCTGGCCAAAGGGATTGCAGTTATCTAGGTGAGTCATGGAAAGAGAGGTCACTAAGGTAACTGTGGCATAGGCAACTGATAAATCATGCCCAGAGTTTCATTTGGAAACAGAAGTGTGTTGAAAGTCAGCAGAGAGACAGTATTTTCATGTCTTGCACAGGAAGCAGGCTACCATGCTCTGCAAATACTGAAACAGAGGCATTCTTTCTTCCTTCAGTATAACATTCAGTGCAGAGCATTAGAGCAATGTAACTTTATTTTTAAACTAATACATACCATCCAGATTTGGCTGTGTGCAGAGTAGATGTCAAAGAATCTGCACTACTTTGACAAACCTGAAGAGATGCTTCTGTTAGGTGATGGACTACTGGCATAGCTTTTTCTTGGAAGTATTTTCCTCTTGCTAACAGCAACTGTTCTGTTCTGTTTGGATTTAGGATAAATCAGCTGTTACTTATTCAAGTTCTTCTATCAGCATATTGAGATGATGCAGCCATGGTTATATAGGAGGAAAACAAAACACAGAGCTGAATATTCTTCTGTAAAGATTTTGAAAAGGACAGAGGTAGCATCATTCCCCACAAGGTCTGCATGGAGAATAGAATATAGTGAAAAGAAGATGGCTGTTGCCACCTGTCTTACTAAAATCGTGCAATCCACGTCTGCCACGCAACCTACTCTCTGGTGGTTGCTGTAGTATGGTACAAGGGTTCTGATACTGTAAATGGTGTGAGCATTGAATTCTCACTTCTTGCAGCTCCAAGGAGGCTGGGGCAGGACTAGTATGGCGAAGAGGATGCTGCTGTTTGGGCACCAGGAGATCAAGACTGAGTTCTCATCTTTGCTACAATCTCTTTTTCTAACCTTAGACAAATCATATAACTTCTCCCTGATTCGGTTCATTATATTTACTCTATAAATTCATGCTTGTTAACAGACCCTTCTGTTCTGCCAGAAAATAAGGTAACATGACAACTAAGCAGGGCAATAAGCCATTCCAGAGGTTTAAGGATGTCTTGTCTCTGATAACATGTGCTCAACAAGAGATGCACTGTATAATGATGACTCCTAGTGGAATGGTGTTTTAAGTGTTGCCAAAATGGCAAAAGATAATCTTTTTCTTCCACCTGGGCATTTTCATGCTGAATGCAGTGGCAAACTCAGTGTTCAACTCTCTTCCTCCCTCAGAGTCTTTTCCTTCATACTTAACAAGGTCTATTTATATATCCCCTAAGTTTAAGTTGTGGAGGGAGATAGATTTTTCATCACAACTGAACTAAAAGGAGTTACAAAAGTTTTTTATCGGGAAATCATTGGACAACGTAACTTGCACTCTTCCAAAAAGTGACCTCATAGTTAACTGTCTTGATCAGATGAGGCTCTCCCAATTTCCCTCTCTATGAGTAAAACCACAGCAGTCAGAGGAGAGGTTCCTCTCTCCAAGAACTACAGCCACGTTTGTGGCAAACTGAGGCTATTTCTGTCTGCTCAGTGATTTTCCTAGGAATAAAAAGTATGGGGGAATAACTGATAGAGTCTGCCACAGTAAGGCTTTGATCAAAGTCCACAACAGTATTCCCCAGTATTTGGATGTTTTCATTGCTGACAAAGTGGCTGTATTTTTTGGCTGCTTTGCCAGCTCTGCCTTTCCTAAGGAGAAAGTGAAAATGTCCATTAGCCCATTAGCAGTTTTAATGAGTGAAATGGGACAAGATTTTATCAGTCCATCTCCAGTGTAACCACTATTTGTAGCACCTCACACTTTCTATCTTTTTCTTTTCATCTACTCTCATTTATTCAATCCTTTGATTTCTCTTTCAACCTTTGGCCACTAGTTCATCCAGATCAACATCATCATTATTTTGCAGGTTTTGCTGAGAGGATTATTTCCAAGGAAGATATTTGTTCTTTTTAAATTTTTTTCAAGTGCTTAACTTACACAATTATTTTATAAATCAGTAATTTTAAAAAGTCTTCATTTTTCTCTCTTAGAAAAACATTAATTTCAATAACTAATCATTAAACTTTTTGAAAAAGTCATATAACTGTGAGATTTTTGTGTTTTATCGAGTGTTTGCATAGTTGGCTGCTCATCTGCAAATCAGGTTCTGGTGATATTGGATCTATTAATGCAAGTAAGGACTGCAGGAGCAAACCTCTAACTGAGGAAAAACAGAAGTTTCTAACTTTTCAACAATTTCCAAAATGAATATGAGATTTTTTTAAATCTCTGTGTTTAAATTACATATTCTGAGTTGGATTCCTTCTTACTAAAGAGTGCACTAGGCTTCCACAAGCATCAAATAGGTGAAGTTGTTCACTAAATTGTTAGCAGACAAAATTATCTTGTTTTATACCAACAAACTCGTTTTAGTATCTCTGCTACCCAGGTATTTGGCTGAGTGGCACATTCTGAGGCTGTGAAAGGTTAGCAGTGGCCCTGGAGTA